GGCTTTACTTCCCTTCGAAGAAGGCGTACGAAGGATTTTTCCGCCCATCCACGGCTTCGATCGGGTTTGAACCCGCCAACTTAGGTACAACAGTCCAGTACACTATCCGTTACACCACGCGCGCCGCCATACATTCAATATTGCATGAACATTTGACTGTCAAAAAAAATTGTTCGCGTTGGATCCCACACAATTTGTCAATCGCTCAAAAAAAGGTTCGTGTCGATTGTTCGAAAGATATGCTCAAAAAAATACGATCGCGGTGCTTCGAAACACGTCTATGACATTGTGACAGGTGATGAATCGTGGATTTACGCGTATTAATTCGGAAAGTAAACAGCTGTCGACTGTGTGAGTGTTTCAAGATGAGCAAAAATTCAACAAAAGATGTTCGCGCACTTGCACTTCCAAACAGATGGTCGCCTGTGTTTTCGGAAAAACTGGACATGTCACAACCGTACCACTAGAACAACGCCAGAACAGTCATTCTGAGTGGTACCCAACGATTTGTTTGCCAGCTGTCTTTCCAAGAAATCAGGAAAACCAACCGCCGAAGACGAATCACTCTTCACCACGACAATGCGAGCTCTCGCACATCGGCTCAAACAACTGCATTTTCGAGCACCCAAAACATCGATTTGATAGGTCATCCGCCATATAGTCCTGACTTGGCACCGAATGATTTCTTTTTATTCCCGTACGTAAAAAACAACCTGAGAGGTCAACGTTTTTCGACACTTGAAGAAGCGGTTGCTGCATTTTGGAGATACTCCAAAGTGGCAAAAGTGCTTCGACAATTGGTTCAAACGCATGCAAAAGTGTGTAGATCTTCATGGGAAATATTTTGAAAAACAATAAAGTGATTTTCGATGATTAATATTTGTTTTTGTTCTCTAATCCTGAAATATAAAAGGCAACCCTCGTATCGGTATGAAGAGGAAGATTGCAAAGAGGGCGGGGAGGACGCTGGCAATGCAGAAGATTGTGAAACTGGGGGCTTGGGCCGGAGTGGGTAGGGTTGGTGTGTTTGGCACAGGTCAGTGCAAACCATAGAGGGTATATACTACAGCTACTGCATAGAAGTATTTTTTGACAACTCAAAACGGCCCATTAAGCCGCAAGCAGCGGCAAACCGCGACGTAGACCAGTCCATGAGCGTTTACTCCAACCTGTGTGCCCACTACAGATAGAATTCATTGTTTTCTTCGTAAAAAACAATACATTATCACCCGAGCGAAGTTGGGTTCTTCAGATTGTTGATAATAATAGACTGCATAATTTTCTTCGTGTTGGAGAAATGTTCATTATAGTGCTGATCATTGTAGGTGGGATTGACTCAGCTTCACAAAGAGAACTTTCAGGTTTAGATAATCCATCTGGGAACATCCTGCCTGACCATGCAACTTAAGTGCTCATAAATTTCGAGAAAACTGTCATGCATTAACCCTCGCTAGCAACTTTCTTCTCCAATACCACTTGCGGATAAATTTACTTTTAGAATTCAAAATACAATGGAATTTACATGTAACATGTAATATGATATGAAATAATACACGTTGCCTTAATGTCGATATAAGAATTTTGAAAATGGGTAAAACAATATATGCAAACTAGTTTTAAAGTTTTAGAACTATGTTTAACATCGTAATTACGAGTGATACTATGTTGAGAATACGTTACTTCTGAATCCAATTTTAAGCACACTCGTACGTTCCTTGTAATTAATGAAATTTACAACGTGGACATTCTCTTTGAAAATTCGTGAGATTCCGTGGGCTATACAAGACGCCCTGTAAACAAATTTATCACTGTTTAAGAGAAGTCTGAAAGAAAAATCCGAGTCTCTGAATAAGCGTGAATTCAGCTTGTCTACGTGTCGAGAATGAATGAATGAATAAATAAATGTTTCTTTTTGACTGCCGGTCTGCAAAGTACTTAACTGACAAGGTGGCATTTGCATAGCTATTTATTGACAATTGCACTCCCTATTTCCATTTATTCTCAATCCTTCACTTAATTGCTTTGTATTTCATATTTATTTTCAATTTTGGGATAAATATAGTCAAAACATATGCCTGCCTCTGGGTTGAGAAAAAGTATTCTAAAGTAAAATATGGCAACTGTTAATAAGCTTTGATTTGATAAAAAAAATTGGCAGAATTTATTAAAATTATTCTACAAATTAATAGGAAATATTTCAGATGGTAAAATGGCGACTATCTTCTAAAACTTAAAGGAAGTTGTGCTCACAGTAAGTTGATAGGCAGAGAATACAAGTATGGTCGGAAACATAATCTACGTTTTTCTGTTACAAACTAACAAAAATCCAAGTTTGTCACTTCACGATATTGCGGTGCAAATTACGACAGTACCACGCGTGGAGCTGTGATCTCAGCCGATTTTAAGCCGTCAGGACCTTATGCTGTCAGAATTGCAGCCATCAGCCTGCTTACAGCCATCAGCCTGCTGTCAAAAATACGGTGCACTCGTATGACACTATGGCTCCCCAAGTGTACATCAGCGCATCCACTCTTGCATAAAGTGCATGACGTTCTGGTGATATGCAGAGTTCAACAAAATTGAAAGAATACAAAAACCCTTTCTACGGGAAAATACGATTCTGAAGTCAACCAATTATTACTGTAAAAGAATTAGTTATTGCTATTTAGAGGAACATTCAAGGTAGTGTTTCTGAAATGACTCGCTTGTAAATCCCAGTTAGGGATACGGGTTCTACGATTATTACGTTCTAACATTAAGAACCATTCTACTTGAACTGCAACATCGCTTGGATGCTAAAACCACGATCGATGGGTCCTGCACTCAAGATCAATTATAGACTTCGATTGTCAATATCTATCGGTACTTGCATATTCAAATAAATTGTTTAAAGATGTTAGAATATGAAGACAATGGCACAACAAAGTTTGGGACGGGGAGTGAGACGCCTAAAGGCTCCTCTCCCGTTTTGGGTACGCCACTCATTGAAAACAATACATTATATCATTGATTAACAAAGCACAATCAAAAATATTTGAATGCAGTAGCAATTAATTAATACAAAACAATTAAATTTAAATTTACAAAAGAAACACACAAAATTTTAAATATTTCATACGTAATAATCACCTCATAAATTATAATTATTGTCAAAAGTCAACGTAGTTCATGACCAAAACCATGATGGAAGGAATCACTTTTAATTTGTTTTTAAATTGATAACATTTATAGGTTATTTATGGTTTTATATATGTTACAAAACATTGTGCATAAATGTATTATTCGAAATCTTAGCTTTTTTAGATTAAGTTGGGGTCGCTAAAATTTGATGAGTATAGGTAATCGTCGTACGTTGTACGTTGTGGAAGTGAATATCCTAATGAAGAAATCCACTTCCTCCATTTAACGTCTTTTTTGTACAAAAAACTTATAAGTAAAGATTCATAAATGGTAATGGCAATATTTCCTGCTCAATGAATAAGTAATGACAATGACAGGACTGCTCGTATTTGTTATTTGCATAACTTATTGGAACAATAGTATAAAGAAGACATGGTGGCACATTTAAATAAAATACTTAGGCTTGGTTTAATTTTCACGCTTGAAGAGTAAGAGACACAAATGTCGAATGTGACGTATTAGCTTCACCGTAGTTTGCAAACTCCGCCAGCCTGAGCTTTTCTTCACAAGCTAAGCTTCTGAAGCTTCCTCTGTAGTTTCACAGCTACAGAAACTAAGACAATTTTTAAAGTAAAGGTACTACTCAATTTGGGCCTCGACGGGAATTGAACACTGGACCACACCCGGGGAAGGTAGTACTTGCTCACGAGTCATGTAAAGTTCACTCAGTTTAAAAAAAATAAGGTATAAAAATCAAATTTAGTTGATGTCTTCCCTCAAATAAATTCTTAAGATGGTTAATTCGCAGAGAACGCAATAAATACGTGTAAATTATCACAGTTGTACTAAATTTCATTACAATTTGGCAGTTTTTCACCTCTCTCGAAAGACAACACTAAAATTGTATTACGAGTTTATATCAATAATGAAATATATACCCAATGAACTCTTAACATTAAATATGTTTTCTCAAATTTGACATATCAGTTCAAATCAATGTATCACAATCGACAATCAGTTCAAAAATTGACGTATCAAATAGCTAACAATTTCTCCCCATGACCGAAAAAATTGATAAAATAATAATATAATACCCGCATGTTTTCTTGGTCTCCAAAATCCTTACGCCAACTCTTTAGTTGAATTATGAACAAAATAGCACGAGAATTATTGTTAATATTATCTCTCTAGTTACAGGAAATATTTATACCGGCAAACAACTTGCAGATTTTATGAGAGGCTTCTGCCGCGAAAATAACTAAATCTCCCACCTCTCTCGTAGCTTGCAAAATGAGAGCACAAGAAACGTGCATCAATAACATGTATTTGAATTACTACTGGTAGCATAGAAAGTTTAAAAAATTAAAACAAAACTGTTCAGTCTATTATAAAAAATCTAAGTTCTAGGCATTCTCTAGGTTAGCATTACTCGAACAATTTTAAGCTTTAAAAGTTTTGACAAACACGCAGGTGCTAAAGAGAATTCTAACGGTGAATATTTTATAGCCTCTTCCAGCACGGTACTTCAAAGAAGCGAGATAAGAAACGTTGCTCAATTTCTCGAATTTCACAACCCAGCGGTTCTGTTTAACCCCATCATTTTACTATTATTACAAGTCATCCACATACTAAAATTCAATTATAAAACCATTTGTGCGGCCAGTTCCCAATGCGAATTAAAATCATTATGTCAATTTGAACATTTTGTTGTAGCATGTACCTCCAACTGTTATTTTGCTCTCTTTTGAGTCAGAAAATTGCGACAAGGAATGTCTTAACGTTGGTAATAACTGTTTTAACACATTAAACGTGTTCAAGCAGGTTAAACACTTAAGTACAAAACAATATTCAGGAAATCAGTTAGGTTACAATTTACTTACCAGTAACTGCATCTTGCTATTGGTAATTGATTCCTAGACACTATTTGCACATTCACTTGATTTCAGTTACACAACCACCACGCCAAACTGCCAGTTCGATCAACCGCAAACACCTCACACAGAAAATTTGAGGTTATGCGCCCGCAACTACCTGTTCACCGAGTCACGCCGTCCTCCCCTCGCGAACCGAGCGACCTGTTGCTATGGCGGCGGCTACAACGCCGCAAGGGCACTCGCGGGGCGTTCGCACCAACGCGCGCAGAAACACATCCACAAGTGCAGACACCCGAGCGGCGCGGCGCAGCCCCGGGCCGACGCAGCACCCGCACGCGCAGATAAACACAAGCGAACCTGCCGCCGCCTCGCGCCCGCTGGAACAGCTTCGATTGCCCACTGATACGCGGCAGCACAATCGCGGGCGCTCGAGTTATCACCGTCGACGGCGGCGAAGGCGGAGGCGGAGGCGGCGCGGGAGCGACGACCGCCCCGGAGCGGCGGCGGCGGCGGCAAGGGCGGAGACGAGGGCGGGGGCGAGTGCGGGGGGCGGAAGCAGAGGCACCCGGCTGGAGCTCGCGACCGCGCAAGTGCAGCCGCGAGCGGCCGTTGCAGTGGAGCTCGTGGCCAGTCGCCAAGTCCGGTACTGGCGGAAGCGGGGGGGGGTGGGGTGGAGGCGGGCTCAGCGGTGGAAGCGCCGCGGGCCAGGGGGGAAGGCGAGGAGGCGGGGACGGCCAGGTAGGTAAGGGATAGGGTGATGGGGAGGTGGCGGAGACGGAGGAGGAGGAGGAGAAGGCAGGGGAGGCGATGGAGATGGAGGAGGCGGGGAATGCATGGTGCAGTGGGCGATGAGGGCGGCTGTGGGTGGCAGGGTCAGAAGCGAGAACGATGGCTAGGTTGCTTGTCCGCGGCTGTGCAACTATGGCGTTAGAGCTAGGTAGTGCCCACCAACGCGCGCACCGCCTGCCTCTCCCCCGCCCCCGCACTCACTTGTGCGGCACGCGGTGCGGCAGGTGCTGCCGGAGCAACATCAACAACCGTAAAGAAGGTGGCTCTGTACTGCGCAGAATGAGGCACCAGTGCTTGGAAGGTTTGGTATTTTCTTTCGCATGTCCTGCAAATTTTACACTCGAGTTTACGACAACAAGAGATTTTAAATCCCTCAATGTGCAGGTTGTCCCGTACGACAACGAATGACAGTAAAAAATGAAATCTTAAAGGATGGCATTCTTGTGTTCCGTATTTAAGCAACTTAAATTCATACATTTGTTCGTATTGAATAGATTTCGTAATCCTGCTGTTGAGTGTGTGGAAAATGAACTCCAAAAATTGGCTATTCTGAAGCGACACAGGTAAATATTGAATCTTCTTTCTTACTCGTCGCACGACTCCAGCTCTATCGTAAGTAGTGATTCCCTGAATTCAGTCGGTATCTGCATTACGAGATTAGGAGGAATTACACAATCAAATGTTTATATTTTCAGCCTAAATGGAAAAAGTTTCCATGATTTTGTATTTTTTCCTAGCTTCTGGGTATCTAACAAAATCATACACACCTCTTACTTTGCCGGTGGCTGAGTAGTTGTCTTTCGCGCGTATGAACGAACATAGTCAGTCTGCTGGTCAGCGTACGCTACCGCTCGTGGAACGTTATTTAGTCATCGAACGATACCTCTGCTTTTAATAACGATTTCCAGTCGTTTCCGCTCAACTGCGCTTCCCCAACTAGCTCTCGTGTCCTTCCTCCCAAATATACGTCTTTAATTTCAACACCCACCTGCTGGTGCCTTCGCATCCTTCACTTATTCCAAGAACTCCTACTTTCTCCGCCTCACTCCCGCTTCATCTTCCCGTCCTACAGCCCCTTCCCCCTGTCCTCCATTGTTCCCCCTCCACAGCATTGTCTCCCTTGCCGGCTCCTCCGCTTCCTCCACGACAGGTGCAGGGCTCTGCGCCGCGCCGCGCCGCGCCGCGCCACGCCGCGCCTCGCCGCCGGGCGCCTGTTTGCACTCGCGGAGTCAGGGTCGTTCGTCTCGCGGCTTCTGCTGCCGAAAAACAAACGCGAGCGGTCTACTTAGCAGGCGCTTATGTCACGCCGTATTTGGCGCTGCGGTGGGAACGGGGCTGAGAGGAACCAGCGCGGCGGCGCTCAAGAACACGGTAACGAGTGCGTTGGCCCGCCCGGTCCCAGGAGGTGCGAAGTGAGGTCGTATGTTAATTCCCTAATTGTGTTAGGTGGTCAGCTGCCGCTGGGCGGGATAAATGACCTGAGGTCCTCACAGTAGCTGTTTATAATAGCGATAGACGGTGAGACCGCAAAATATTTATTTCATTCATTATGCGAGGATGTACCTGTGGTGTAGCGGTAAGACTGCTTGATTTCCACCACTGGGACCGGAGTCAATTCCCGAAAGATGCTGCTGGAATAAGCGGATTCATGAGGTTCTTCCGTTTTTTCGGCATTTTATTCCACCATTGCTTCCTCATCGTCAAACCGTTCCTCAGCTATCAAACCGTTTATCCATTCCAGACATGGTCGTCAGATTTTAGTATTGGAATCATAATAAAGGATTAAATCATGCGAAAGTGTTTTAAAACATTATGTTTTTTCTACAAAAAATTGAATGTATTCTCATTCAAGTGTTGCCATTTACTAAAAACAGCGATTGGTTACATTACAAGATATCAGTAATAGTCGCGGCGTCCTTGTTTGTGACTTTTCCCCGCCCGTTGCGTCCCCACTTGCAATCGTGTAGTTGGATGTGGGCGAGGAGAGACACGGCCCACGGGCAGCGGGGCAATGGTGCACGAGAGTGCCTCTCGTTGGCCTCGATAGCCTGCGATGCCGCAGTACTATCAGCATATCGTCATAGAGAGAGTTGGTGTACACTCGCAAGCTGTAGCTGTAAAACGAAGTACAAATCGCGCTCGACATTTCACGAAGAGTGGTGGGATCTTATAAAACACAAATGGCTAGTTCTTGGTCAGCGAGCCTGCTTTCCAGTACGCGGTCCCGGATTCGATTCCACCTAATGGTCAAGTCAAGAGTATAGTGTGCGTTGAGAAGACCGGAAAACGGCGTGAGGATGTTTACCTGCTAACCACACGTACCCCTTTCACCCATGGCCACGAAGCAGGGTCATCGCCGGTAGGCCTGAACCCGTTCATGGGCTGACGCGACAAGTACATACATCCCATACACAAATAAACGAACAATTTCGTAATATTTAAAACGTGTATTGTCAATTATCGAAATAGTTTGATGTATTTCATTCATCAAACTATTGATTCATTGATGAATTGAAGAATTTGTTTAAGGCGGGAAGAATGACAAATACTGTTGCAAGCTTGAAAGAGAAGTTAAATTTAAAATGTTTCGACAACTCCAGAACTTATTGATTGTTGAAAATTGAATACTGTATCACATAGTGATAAAAATGTTGAATACTTTTGTTTTGATTTGATTTAGTTTGTAATAGTTTGTTTTGTCCTATTTTGTTTTCCTTCCTTGTCGCTGAAGGCACGTATTTGTATTTGTATTTGTATTTAGCCATTATATGTCCCGTAAAGGACAATTGGACTCGGCACCGTTATATCCCGGGGTTCCTAGACGGTCACTCAACCAGGAATCCGCTTAACCTTCTTGATTTTAAGTAGTTAAAGAATTCGGCTAGCGACGCCGGTTTTGCAGCCATGGCCTTTCAGTAGAACCATTCCAGAAATCGCCTGGATGACCGACAGAAACCACGAAAACCCCTGAGAGGATGGCCGGCACGAGGATTGAAACTGTGCCTCTCGAATGTGAAGTCAACGCGCTTTGTTCTGAGCCACTTCGCTCGGTTGCGTATTTGTAGTGTATCCTAATGTACATGGCAATTACATTATGTATGTTTAATAGTGAAACCTTCAAGGGTTGTAATGCAAATTTTCTTTGCATGATAAGAAGAAGCTCTTATCGCCTATTTTTATGAAAAGAAACAAAGTACAATTTATATATTTAAAGAGAATTGTTCTTAACCTCACATCTCAAGACTTTGGTTTCAATAGAATTCAAGTGAGAAAATCATTATTGTTCATTTTATACAATTTTCCATGAAATTGTGTACCTTAATCAATAAATTTCAGAATGATCTACGGATCACCAAAAGCCACATGATGCTCAAAATATTCTAAATAAATACCTAAATGTGTAAATGTGTTTCTAGTTTTCCGTAAACTAGGTTCTCAAAAACAAACCAAACCAAACCAAACGTTTCAGTCACATTTAATTTAACTTAGTTACTTTCCATTTACACACAAGAGAAAAAATTAACACTGAGCAACCGAGACGAAAACAGTGGTATATCCCTGCAAGCGTCTTCGAGTTTGCTCTTCCACAATGGTAAATCAGGTAACATAGAAATATTAGTTTTAAGAGATTTATTTCTAAAAACGTGTTTATAAATTCTCCAAGTTAACATACTTTCTACCTGAGATATTCAAATATAATTTTTCACCCGAAATAAAAAGTTAAACACTAATTATGTACCTTGCAAAGAGTCAGGAGATTAATGAGAGGTAGGCGCAGTACAGACTTTTGCAATATTCGTGAACATGCCGCCTGGACTCGAACCCACGACTTGTTGCAAAAAGAAGTTTACGAGCACAGCCCGCAAGATGGAGAAGCACGAAACTAATCAAGAGGTCCATGATATACGCGCGCTATTTCCCAGGCTGGTATGAATCACATTAGCCAGCTTCTTCGGCAGAAGAGAAGGCACACTCCAGCGATAGTTATGGTCCAATATGTGCAGTCTATTTAGACCAGAAGAATTTCGAACTTTTCGACGGACAATTTCTCTCTATCTGGTCTGCAAGATTTTTTTACGGGACGCAAATTAAATATAATACAACCATTTTAAAACCCCAAGACCCTCTCTTACCCCTCTCAAACCCCTCTCTTAGAAACTTTACATAATACTGTGAAGGTTTTAATTATATTGGCTGGCATTAATCCAATGCCCGGGTCGATGGTGTGACGAAAGGTTTAATCAGCATGTACTGTACTATGATCGTCAGGAGATGTTTCCAAAATGATGTGATCTTTACCGTTATTCAACTTGCAGATGCAAGAAAAATGAAGTTGTTAATTGAGTGTTTGTTCCCAATGCACCCATAATCGTTGCCTCAATGAAAACTACTAAGTATTCACCTTTAACACATTTCACTAAAATAGTTCATAAATTATAATATTATAAATGAAAATAATTAATATCTTATTGGTCATTACAAGTAAACGAAAGTGACCGAAAAGAATTACAAATAAAGTAATTTCAAAACAAAATGCAGAAAAGTATTTGATAACCG